GTACCCACTGCCTTTCTAGGGATCAGATACTAAAACTGATGAATCTAAGCAAGAAGATGGGGATACTGCTGCCAGGTGCTACTAGAAGCAGGGCAGGTCCTCAAAAATAACCCATCAATAACTCTTCTGTTTCTCTTCCCACACCTTCTACCAACTGCCACCAAAGCTTATCCAAGACAATTTCTCTTCCCTCTCCTCACTGCTCTCCCCACCCCAGCCCCAGGCAACAGTTGCCTGTAGGACTTGCCTGCTGGCCAGTGATTGCTTTTCCCCTGCATTCCTCCTAACAGGTTTCCCTGCTCCAGTCTTGACCATCTATAGACCAGGGTCAACACTAAAGCCAGAGTCATCTTTATAAAAGGTAAATGGCATCATGTCACGTCTCAGCTTAAAACCCTCCAGTTACCTCCCATTAGCCTTAGAAAAAAGATCAACAAATATATGGTAGCTGAAGGAAACTGAATTTTGGGTGGTAAACACACAATAGCATATACAGATGTCAAATTATAATGTGAACCTGAAAACTATATAATTGTATTAACTAATGTTACCCCAATAAACTTAATTAAAAAATGAAAAAATAAAATGATGTTATTTAAATAATTTTTATAGGTAAAAGGGATCTGCAGAAAAGGACTGACAGAAAAGAGCTTCTTACACTCTCTTATTTATATTGATAAAAGTCTGGAGAATTTTAAACCATGCACATGTTTTGCCATTCATCTACAAAAATATCAGTAGCCTGTCAGCATGAAATCTGAGCTGAGCAATAGAGAGACAGAGTCAAGTTAATCCTTAATCTGTAATTTGGTGCCCTCTCTCACTTCTTCTCTCCAGTAACCTATGGCTTTGGGGATAATAAAGGCCTCAGTAGAGGTTATAAAACTGTGGCTATAAAAGCAGACGGAGCCAATGGATATTCGTGAATCTTGAATCATACTTTTGAGCTCATTGATACCTTACCATTTGAATTATAAGCACAAAATTGAATCATAAGCTCATTAAACACTACTGGGAAAATAGATGTAGGGTTCAATGTGGAACTTACCGTATGGCTCGTCCAAATGCAGTGAAAAGTGGATATGGTGGGATGTCTTCAGGTTTTTTCAAGGCCCAGTAATAAGAAGCAAAGGCACCAGCAAGGGCACACTGACCCAATGCAATGACAAAGTTTATAAGCCAGAGAAAAACGAACAGATTGAACATCTGGAGGGTATTGATGTATTGATGGTACAGGGTCTTTCCGCCATAGAAAGAAAAGATACACTGAGCTCCGGGGCAAGCTCTGGAAATTTCAGTTGTATTAAAAATCTGCACTCAAAAAAAAAAAAAAAAAAAACCACAGATAATATAATATTAACCACTATTTCAAGATAACACCCTCTCTGCCTTCTCCTCTTGTGAAGCCCCCAGTTGCATGTCCTGTGCTTTTTCTGTGAGCTTCTCCTGTTATTTTCTATCACATTACTTTATATAATATTTTAATGAGCTCTAGAAAGTATCTCATTTTCCATCCTATGTTTATCCCTCTTTACCCACTATAATTTCACATTTATCAGTGTCGTTGTTGACCATACCTGCTTCTCGGATATATAAGAAAAATGAGCTCAGGAAATAATAGAGCTTTCTCTCTATTCTGACCACCATTTTCAGTGTTCTGCTTAACATCCAATTCACCCTCCCCTAATCTACAATGACCCCTATCAATGCACAGGATCTCTATTTCAGGATGATTCCCACAACTGCTAGATGAAACGTAGGACAGTTCTGTATTGAAGTTAAGTAAAGAGAGAGTTTATTATACTTACCTCTGGGTCACAGGTTTTATTTTCATGTTTACATTGCCCATCTGGGGCTATGATTTTATATATGGGTACTCCTGATGTAGCCAAGTAACTGAGTAAACTCTATTAAGGATAAATTATTTGTTGGTAAATTGAAAATAAATAGACATGAAAATAATGCAAATAATTTAAAAGTCCTTTGAGACATTAACTTTAAAAAACTTCTAACCATTTAATAATCTATTCATTTTTTAGACCCAGAGTGATATAACATGGGTCAGCTGCACTGAGAGGCCTCTTAAAAACAGCAAAATAATTAGGAGCTTTCTTAGGTTATCACCAAGGAGAAGTCTCATATGTGAAGACAAAATAAAATCTACCATATGACCTATTTGAGGGGAAATTCAATCGTTAAACTGAAATTTTTTTAGAACTTGTAAAAAAAAAAAGTCAGTTATTTCTTTAGGATGTTCCTAGTCTTTCCAGGATAAAAAACACTGAATTCTCTGTTCCTGAATAGTAGTGTGGACCCGAAGAATAAAGAAATAAATTTCCAAAGGATACACTGCTGTCACGGCCCAGTAGCTAATGCAGATTGAGAGGAGAATGAAAGTTAAAACTGGATAAACTAATGTACTAGGGACATATCCAATGGCTCTGAAATGAAATCAATAGTTGAAATTTGAAATGATCTAGTCTTATAATTTCTCAATTAAATTTTTATCTGTTAAAACCAGAAATAAGCCTTAGACTAAATTAGTTCTATGAATAGTGGTATTAACCATTGATTCTTTTTTGCTGATCATGCTGGCATTTTCTTAGTTGGTCATCAGTTTGTTTGTTTGTTTATTATAAGTTAGAAGCATTATTTCAATGCTCATGTTTGATTCCTGCCCAAAGTTCCCCAAACACTCTCCTTTCTTGTTTATATCTGTCTGACTCATAAAGATTTAACACATTATAATCATAATATTTATCCCTTTTATTTAGATTCTTAGACTTTTAAAATTGCAGAGGACTTTGAAGATCATCTGATCCAATGTGAGAATTCCTCCTCAATTCAGAAATCCCTCTGTACTATCTTCAAAATATGTTCATAAGCCTCTAGTGACCACACTGAGTATTAGGAACTTACTCTTATATGACACAGCTTATACTATGTCTTAACGATCAATGCATCAGAAAATTTTTCCTTATCTGCCTGCCTATAACTCACATCCACTATCTTCTGGAGAAGAGATGACCACCTTTTCAACACAGCAACCCTTCAATTAACTCCTTATTCTTTTATTCTCCAGGATGATCATTCCTCTGAATTCCTCTGATACTTCCTCATAATACATGGTTTCTGAAATGTTCACTATCCTAGTTGTCCTGTTCTTAACTACTTTTGAATGATCTTTTTAGCATATGACACTGGATGAAGTCCAACACTGTTTGATGTAGCCATTGAGAACTATGATGGAACTATTTCCATTCCTAATGCATTGGCACATCTTAAGATTCCTTTTGCTTTTATTACCTTCTTTTTTTCACTGTTTGAGCTATGCTGTTCTCCCCTTTCTCCAGACACTGCTGTTAAGTGAATTATTAAGCATTCCTATGTTTACCCTGCATTCTCTCACCCATTTATTCCAACTCTTATTTTCTCTCAAGCAAACTATCAACCTGTCACGGTTGGCCCTTTAACACACACACACACTCTCTCTCCCCTCTCTCTCTCTCTCTCTCTCTCTCTCTCTCTCTCTCTCTCTCTCATACACAGTTAGAAGCATAATGGTGGGGCAAGTTACAGTGAATTGCACAATATCACATTATTGAAAAATTCCAGCAAATCAGTAATTTTCAATGGCTAATGATAGGGCTTCAGTTATTGTGGGAAGGAGAGAGAATTAAATTTAACAAACTGCTTGTTAACTATTTAAACCATGGGCCTCAGGTAGCACTATTATATTTTAGATGACAATTTTGTTATAATAATCCTTAAAGTCTATTTAAAATGAATTGGTCCTTGATCATTAACAACTTAGTTTCCATCCTTCTAAATAAAGAATATGGTTTGTTGGCTTTATAGTAATACTTTCCTTGTTTCTTCCGTGCATTATTCAAAAGTTTAAGGTATTATCCACAAGTGATCTTTTGGAATAGTTTGGAAACTATAGGTGTTATTACCTCCCAGCATGAATTTTATGAAAAATTTAGTGTTTATTTTGTAACATATTTAAATAAAAATAGTTCTGGGTATGAAATGTTTCTGAATTAAGAGCTATAGATACAAAATGTATAGTTTGGTGCTGCTGGGATCAATTATTCTGCCAATTGGCAAATTTTGTCATTCATATAGAAAATGTAGTAGCATGTAATTGACTTTATGGAATCATGGTGATTTAAAGTTCTGCAAATGATCTCGACCATTAATATTAACATACGACTCAGTGTGGGATTAATACAACATGTAATATAACTAACTTTTATATAGCACTTTTTCATTTACTTTTATATGCATTATTCTCCTAACATATATTTGGTGTCTTAAAAAGTGCTAACACATAGACATGATAGGTTTTAACCTTATTTAACCCTATGATAATGAAGGTCTGGGGGATACTAAAGGACATGTTAACATGAATTTTCTAAGTGGCAAGTCTGAACTTGAACAAGTCTTCCTGAATGAAGAGCAGATTTCTTTAACAAATCTTCTTAAAGGGAAAATGCTCTGGCAGTGACTGACGGGGCTGATTGTTATACACTATGCGAGTCTCTCCATCAGGGCCTTACTTGCTCCCTTCCTTCAGCAGGGCGATGGAGATGCGAATTCGGTTCCTAAGGAAGATCAGCATGAGGATGATAAACACTTCGAGGATGCTGAGGATTATCACTTTAAACAGGAAAAAAAAAAAAAGTCCGTGATACAAATCAATCAAAAAAAATAAACTTACTCCGCAGATGTTAGGACTGAGCTTCATGATTATTCCTGCCAATTCTGACACTTCATAGTTGCAGCCACGCTACCACTCCCAAAATGCTTCTTAGAAATTCACTTTGGAAACCCCCAAGAAGTGCTAAGAAATCTAGACCAAAACCTTTAGCTAGAGTTTGAACAATTCATTCGGACAGGCTTTATCTATGGAAGCATTTCACACCATTTGCAGAAATGGGAAAAGAGGCATGGAAGGAAGGGCTGCTTTAGGCAGCTCTTAAATGTTTCATTTTTACTTTACTGAGTAAGAGAATCGTTGCAGAAGAAACTTTTTGTCTATCCTGCTCACAATATCTCTTTAATTTAATTGGCTTGCTGATTTATAGGGCAGCCTCTCGGCTGCCACATTTTTATTTTGTGACTCCATCATCATGACCACCATTGATGATATCAGGGTGTAAACCCAAATGCAAATTGTCTAATAAAAGTCTCACAATTAGAACTAAGGGAATCAAGGTCAGTTTTGAGTTTAAGTTTATACACCTCTTGAACTAAGAATTATAAAAACTTAACAAACTACCATCAAAACTACCTTTATGTGAAGTAAATAAATCTGCACAAATAAAGAATAAAGTGTATGTATACAAAGAAAGAGAACAAGGAGAGGAAATCTTGAGTTATTTTTGGCTTTTGTTTCCTGGATCTAGCTACACTTAAAAGTCCAGCTGCTTTTCTTTGGTGAGACACTTCTATATTCTTATAAAAATACCTCTGCTTTGGCCCTAGCTTGTTCTCATTTTCTTTCCTTTTCAGCTAACTTGAATTAGTTTCTTTTTACTTGAAACCAAATAGTCCTAATTACTCTATTTCCTCAATTCTAAAATATACCTTTAATTTAGTAATATATTTTTTGGAAAAGTAAAAAATTCCTTCATAAAATGTCTATTCATTGATTATAAGATGCATCCTGACTTCAGAGATTTTAAAAAGTGAAAAGGTATAGATCTTAAAATTAAGAAAATATATCACTACTAATAATAATCCAAACTTACAAAAGAAACTTAATGGAAAATTAATTAAATTTTAATTTGTGAAAAGATTCGTTCTATAACATCCTTTCTAAATAGTTATTCTCCTGATACATGAATCCTTCCACTGATAGGGCACTCATGATTTCACTGTATTGTTATACCACTAAGATTCTGATGTTACATCACATATCATTTAATACTTCCAGCAGGTCGAAATCGGTTAACCCAGAGATGTGGGAGGATCTTAGTAATGTATCATTTCACTACTACACTTTTTAAAATTCAACTGTGTATTTACATTTTCATGCATATTTGCACATATGTATAAAACATAAAATTGACCCCCAAAATCTGGAGTATAGCCATATTAAGCTAAAATCATTATCTTCTTTGGAGAAACCTAAGAATATGAGATATAGCAGAATCACTTTATATTCTGAAATTGCATTGATAAGAACATTGCATATTAAACTTCTATCTTTATAAAATTACATATTAAAAATGGCTATATTAGAGAAATTTAACTGCCTTCTGAATTTAAATATTATATTCCTTCTTTGTGTTTGAATAAGAGCAAACAATAGAAACATTTTAAAGACCCTATACAGAAGCTGATATAATTATAATTTCTCAGAGGAGACTGGGATAATTAATAGCAGAAATAAGAATAGAACCATCTCCTAAAACAATCCAAGATTCATAAAAATTATATTTTTGTATGTATAAATCTGCTTATTTTCGGTGTTTCTGTCAATGAGTGTAATTTCACATGTATGCACTTGTCTCTAGTGCCTAGAATTTTGCCCAAACACAGCACAAGTTATCAATTAATGTACGATAAATGGGTTGCGAAAGCTGAGGCTCATTTGAGGAAAAATTCGTGTTGCTATAACTTGAAAATAAAAGTAAGCTCAGAATTTTCCTCAAAGAACATCCCTTAATTTTCCAATGGCACATTCCAATCATCTCAATGATTTTTGTGTTGAAGCTCCTTAACTAAGTTACAGAACCTATAACTAAGGTCCATCTGAGAGTAAAAGTAGACGTTTCAATACATAACGGATGAGATTTGTCCTCTTAAGAAATGGTAGCTAACTGTAAGCGGATTGCTGAAGATATGTGAAATCACTCAAATTCAAGAAAAGCGATTAGAGGGAGATGCAAGTCCCAAAATGTCTGATTTTTGTAATTAAAAAGAAATGGCTATAAATGAAACAATTCTTCCACAACATATCTGAAAAAATAATGTGTTTTTTTTTTGTGAAGGGAACTAGTCTGATAAAAGCTAGAAATGGGAAGCCAAAGAGCAAAGGTTTGGCATTTTGATAAGGCACTACCCCCGAGGAAAGGAGAACAGCTGAATTTGGCAGACAAAGGAATCTAGCAGGGGCTTCTGTGCAGCAGGGCTAGGTCATCAAGCTTGGCATGAGCCTGAAGAAAGCATGTATCAAGACTATCTGAGGCCCGCTGCTAAAAATGCTTGTTTATTAATAATTGTGTTCTGCATATGCCTTGATCCCAGGAAAGCAGTGTCCTACATGGGATATGTCTACATTCTGGTCAGGGAGAGTACCCTAACAGTGCAAACAAATAAAATGGACCCTGGTGACATAATGTGAGCCTGTCTTTGAAAGCTTAATAAATTTGGGGCGAAGTGGCAAAATCAGGTTTTCAAATTTATGAGCATGGGACCCATACCTGGAATGATAATGCCCTATCAAGATATTGCTCCCACTGAGGTTCTCTCTGTGCATCTTTACCAGGCTTCTTTGAACATGTCTTGCCTGGCTCTTGAATTTTAAAAATATGAAGATGAATTGTCTTTTAAAGTAACATGTAATTAGAGACCATTTTTAAAATCTTGATTAAAGAATATGAATCTCTGTGAAGCACAAGAAATATTATAATACGACCATTCTAAGAATATAGGATTAAAGCATCTTTGAAATAACCTTGCTTTAAAAATTTTGTTATTACCCTTAACTAATTTGATAATCTGAATAAACACTTCAAAATGTGAATTTATTTTTAGTTACTTATTATTCTAATTCCTAAAATAAACAGTTTGAAAATTCTGGTCATAGAAAATGTTTCTTTTTTTTTCTTTTTTACCTTTTTAAAAAATAAGTTTGAAAAATCAAGCATTTTTACTGTTCAAAACACTTTTCTTGAATATTAAGTTAATGGCTATAAACATGCACATCCAAAACATTTGAAGGCAAAAGTTTGAAATCAATGTAAAGCAATATTTTCTTAGATTATATAATAAATTCTACTTGATGACTTTTGCATTTATGGTAGCTTATAGAATTATAAACACATCTACTTTAAAGACATTAGTGATATGTGTATTTAACAGGTTACACCAACCCAAGCTTTCCTTTAGACAAAAAGATGCTTTCTCATTGTTGTAAAATCAGTTTGTAAAATCCACTCACTAAATATGAACCATGTTTGTCTCAGTTGAAAGTAGGTGCTTATATCACTCTGAATCCCGATGTCATATATAGTTAAGTGAGAAGTTTGGTGTCCCTGAAGATTGCTGTATTCCCGGTAACAGTACCATATTCCTTGAAAAGGAAAGAAAACAGACTAATATAAAACGCTGTTTTCTGAAACATAAGCTATATGCTTATCATACATATCTACATGAATTCAATCAGCATGGTCTTTTTACAAAGGCAAGATTCATACTTACACAGTAAATATTTTATGTTGATCTAACAGTCTAAATATGCTATTCTATTCCATTAAAATGTTTCCAGTATTTGTCTGAATGACTGTGGCAATGTCTGGCTTTAAAAGCTCTTTTGACAAGAAATAACCTTAATGTCCATAATAGGGACTGGTTAAATTATAGTATATTTGTAAAGTAGAATACTATATTTCCATATAAAGAGGAGAAAGTCAAGTGATATTAAATAATTTCTATGATATGATTTTAAGTAAAGAGAGAAAGATACAAAATGACAAAATATGCTCTAATTCTTATAATAAGAACAATCTATAATTTTCTTATACACACATAAAGTATCTCTGGAAAAATACATAGAAATATAATATTTTTGCTTGCAGGGAGGGAAACTTAGTGACGAAGGAATAGAATGAGAAAGAAATTTTTCACTGTATAAATCTTATACCTTTTGAAGTTTAAAGCACATGAATATATATCAGCCTAAAAAGCAAATTTAAAAAATCATTTAAATTGAAAAAAAAAAAAAAAGCCCTTTTGAAAATTTTTTGATGGTGGAATTACTTAAAGCATATTCTTATCAAAGTTTGTGTCCAGGCAAGGCAAATATGGGCTAACTGTATTTTCTCCAAAACTCTGTATTTCAGACTGCGTAATGACTTTTTACATGGTCTAGACAAAGTGGGAGTAAAAAACGTGGAGTTAAGAGGTCTATTGATTTTAATGACCAATGAGTCTGGATTAGGTCTATAGGAAATATTCTAGCAATAATGAAGAAAACAGCTTTTTAAACTCCTAACTGTAAATTAACAGTTTTTTCATAGATGTGAGGTGAGAGGGTAAGGCCCATGGAGAAAGACAAGACTAGACTAGAAAGAACAGAACATTTGTTTTTCAAAAAGATATGACACATCTCTTTTTTTCAGGCCTTACTTTCCCAGTGTAGTTTTAGATCTTCCTTTAAAAATGATTTATGGAATATTTGATACATACAACATTATATGTAATACAGATATAGGTTTTAAAACATAGTAGAATGAACACATATGAACACATCACCTAGTTTAAGATTTCATAATCTCAATTTTACTGTAATTATGCAAATTAAAAGTTTTTCTTCTACTTGATATCTTCTTCCTATCATACCTTCGTGCCTCTCCTTGCCGAGGAACAATTTTGAATTTTGTGCTTATTATTCTCTTATTTTCACAGAAATATGTGTTGAAATCTTTCTACTAAGGGAGATTTATATCTCATAGAGATTTATTATTTATTGGTTTATTTATTTATCCTTGTAGTCTTATGAATTTTGAGGCTATTTTATTAGATGTATACATGTTTAGAATTGGTATACCTTTTTAGTGATTGAATCCTCTTTATTCCGAATAATGCTTTTTATTCTAAAATCTATTTTGTCTGATGTTATTATGGCTACTGCAGCTTCCTCTTTGTTAATGATTGCTAGTGTATTTTTATCCATGACTTCATTTTCAAACTTTCAATTTTCTTAATGTGCTGTGTAATTTCTGTAAATAACATACAGCTCTGACTTGTATGTTTATATTTTAATCTGGTGGGACAATCTCTATTCTAATTGGTGAGTTTAATACATTTATATATTTATTTTTGTTTCTACTTACTTAATTTTTGCTTGTCCTGTTCCACTTGGTACCTACACTTCTTTTCTTCCAATTTTGTCTATTAAAAATTGGTCAGTTTTTATTTGTTTATTTATATTCTGTTTTTCCCCATGTCTACTCTATTTTTAGAATAGATTACTCTTGAAAATTTGCTATGTGTACTTACCAAGTTTAAAGTCAATATCTTAACAAAGAAATACAAGAACCTTAGATCACTCAGTAATCACCACACTCTGATTATTGCTCAGTATTTTACTTCTGTATATTTAGACCTCAAAAAATTATTATTATTCTATACAAAGTTTATTTAGATTTACCTACACATTTACCAATTCATTTTCTTTGATCACTATTCTTTCTTTCATCTCATATCTTTTTGTGGAATCATTTTCCTTCTTCTTGAAATACATACTTTAAGAGTTCCTTTGGTATATATCTATTTGTAAACTCTAGTTTTCACTTATCTGAAAATAACCTTATATTACTCTCACTCTTGAAAGATAGTTTTGTTGGGTGTACAGCTGTCGGTTGACGGTTATTTTTTTCATAGCTCTTTGAGGTATTATTTCACTTCCTTTGTTGCTGTTGAAAAGTTTGCTTTGGCCTAATTGTCTCTTTGGATGTAATCTGTTTTTTCTCTCCTGTTGTTTTTAAGATCTTTTGGTCTTTGGTATTCTGAAGTTTCACAACAATTTCTTTCTCTTACATCTTTAATTCCTTGCTCTCTAGTGGATCATTCCAAACAATATATGAACATGTTTTTCTTTCTTCCATCTTAAAGAATAAAACAAAAGAAAATCTACTTTTGACCCGCTCTCCTCATCAACAGCCCAGTTTCTTGTCCCCTAATGCAAGCAAACTCTCCAAAATATCTATCTATATTTTCTGTCTATAATACCTCTCCAATCCTCTTTATATCCACTCTACACAGGCTTTTTTCCCTCATTATTTTACCACAACTGTCCTCATCAGATCAACAAGGATCTTTCTACATTTCTAAATCCAAGGCAAATTCTCAATTCTCATTGTTCTTGACTTATCTGCCCCATTTGACATGGTTGATCATTCCTTTTCCTCCTCCCCACCCCCATGTGGCTTCAAAAACATCACCGGCTTTTGTTTTATCAAAAAAGAAAAAGAAAAAGAAAAAATTTCTCCTCAGTTATCTTTGCTGGTCCCTTCTCTTCTCCCTGACCTTTTAATATTGGAGGGCCTCAGAGCTCAGTCCTTGGTTCACGTCCTTATCTATATCTGTTTTCTTATTGATCTCAGCTAGTCTCATAGCTCTAGTGCTCCCGACTCTTAAATATATTCCTCTAGGCTAGCTCTCTCTCTCTAATTCCACACTGTATATCCAACTGCCGGCTTGACATCTCCATTTTAATGCCTAATAAACATCTCAAACTCAGCATGTTCAAAATTAAACCTCTGATCAATCCGCTTTCTACACCAAGCTTTCTAAATTCAAACCTTCCTTATCTCAGTTGACAGCAACTCTATCTTTCCAATTGCTCAGTAGAAACCTTTGAAGTCATTCTTGACTTCTCACTTTCCCTTGTGAGCTGCATTCGGTCCATCAGGAAATTTAGGTGGTTCTACATTAAAAACATATATGCTCGTCCTCATTGCTATCATCGTGATCTGAGCCAGTCCCTAATTTAGCACATGAATTACTGCAATAGCCTCCTCACTGGTCTTGCTGCTGCTTCTCTTGCCTCACTATGGTTCCTTCTCAACTGAGGGACTAAGGTAATCATCACTTCATATTCCTTCTCCGCCTAAAACCCTACAATGCCTTCCCATTTCACGCAGAGTAAAAGGTAAGAGCTTGTAATAATCTGTAAGTCTGTGGCCCTCCAAAAGTTCTATTACCTCATCTCCTACTATTTTCTCCTTTACTCTGTACACCTATCCATATGAGCCTTATAGCCTTTCCTTCAACACACTCCTACCTTTGGGACTTTGCTCTAGTTGTAGTCACTGTCTGGAACTTCTCCCATATCTTTAATGGCTAATTCCATTGCCTCCTTCGAGTGTTTTCTCAGATCTCTTCTCAAAAAGTCCTACCCTACTAATTTTACAATTTGTATTCCTTGTTCTGCCACTGTCAATCCAAATGA